AATTAATTGTTCTGTTCTTGGTGTTTTGTCTTGTCTTATTCCTTCCTTTGTTCTCCAATTCAGATTCTGTTTCTTAATTTGACTTAAAAACAGCCTCAATTCTCGTTCAATGGAACCAAAGAATTTCACAAGCAACAATTATTGGAATTCGCTGAAAATTTTGTTCCTTGCAATTACATAAACAATCCTCAAGCAGGGGATTCAACAAATATTTCCTGTTTTTTTTTTAAAAAAAAACAGTAGCAGCTAGTAACAGAATGATTCGTTCAAAGAAGCTGTTTAGGTGGCAAAGAAGTGGCAGCAGCAAAACGCCATCAAGAGAAGAAGTAAAGTTTTTCTACCAAAAACCAATGATCACAATCAAACCAGAAATAACATTTCTGGGACTTCTTCATCAAATGCTGCTCAAAACCAAGACAATGTCGCTTTCACCACGCTTAAGAACATGTTTAATAAAACTTGTAAGTGTTTCAGTTTTTTTATATTATTTGTATTTCATAAATTTAAGTTTACCTTTTAAAAATTTATATTTTTTAATTTTTTTAACCTTAAAAAGATCTTAAATAATAAATTTTAAAAAATTTCAAATTTTTATTTTTTATAAACTTTTTTTAACTCTTTTTTTTCATTTTTTTTCTCATTTTTTTTTATTTTTAAAAATAATTTTTAAATTTTTTCTCTGATAAAAATTTAAATTTATCACTCATAAATAATAAAAAAATAAAAATAAAAGTTTCAAAAAACTCTACCAAACAAACAGGCCCTAAGTCAGTTACCGCCCTCTGCTCTTCGTTTTGTCTTTGCAGCATTAGCAATTGTACCCAGAAGTTGGCCCGAGATTAGAGTTAAACATGTAACTAATTAATATATTTATTGAGGGGACAGTTTGTTTGAGATGAGGAAGGTTTGTATTCTGTGAAGATTTGAATATCTCGCGTTCGAAAAAAAAAAAGAGGAATATTTGATTGTTGACTTTGTATTTTAATTCAACAAACTTCAATTTCTTCTTTGTTATTGTTTCGAGAATGATGTTTTATAAACCAGTGCTTATAAACTGGCACATGCTCCTTTTGTCAAATTCATGAAAGAAAAATTAGACAAAATGATGGTTTATTGAAGAGTAATATAGGCTCCAACCCTGAGTTGGGTTGGAAAATATTTAAGAATACTGAAAAACCTATTTATTCTTATATAATTAATCATCAAATAAAGAGGATTAAAATAATAAAGTAAAAGTGAATATTATTTTATAATTTATTCTGCATGAATTGTGTTTCTTATAATCATTAATAAAGAAGTAAATTTTAAATATTAAAAAATTTATCTCCCCATCAATTATTATAAAAATTGCAATTTATATGAAATGGGATGCACTTCACTTTTTTGAAACTAAAAGAATATACAACAGAGCCCTTCAGTCTGTTTTTAAGCTATGAAGCCTTTAAAAATGCATATAAAGCAATATGAGGCTTTCT